CGGTTACACCAACTAATAAATTCGTGATCAAAAAATGCTGATCAAACAACCCTGACTAATATATAATGAGTTGGAATTTTATTTCACTCAGGAGTGTATCATTAGATTTTTTATTTTGTGTATGCATGCTTATGTTTTCGAAATTATAAAAATTTTTTATCGTACAAAGAAAAACTTTAATGTTTATTGTTTCTATATAGGATACGACTGACATAATTATTACTACTAAGTATGCGAAGGTTTCTGCAGTTCCTGCGAATTCTACTTTAATGACTTGTACGAAAAATTGCTTGGTTTAGTATAATGAGTAAGTATCGAAATCATGCGAATTTCTATTTATAATAATAAAACTCATGTTCATATGTTTATGTTTTATTTCCATATATGATATAACAATGATATAATTATTAAATATTCAAAGGTTCAAGGTTCATGCAGATTCTACTTTAATGACTTGTCGAAAAATTGCTTGGTTTAGTATAATGAGTAAGTATCGAAATCATGCGGTTCTATCCATAATAATAATAAGGAAAAAACTCATGTTCACGCGTAATTATTTATTTCCATATAAAGTGATATAATTATTGAATATTCGAAGGTTTCTGCTTTGATGACTGGTACGCCTGGTTTAGAATAATGAGTAAGTAATCGAAATTATCCTTATGTTCACGTGCGTGTTTTTATTTCCTCAACTGACATAATTATTACTAAGAAAGTTTCTTTTCCTGGTTTAGAATAATGAGTAATTATACGAATTTATCCTTATGTTCACGTGCATATGTTTTTATTTCCTCGACTGACATAATTATTACTAAGAAAGTTTTTGCGGTTCTGCTTAATGACTGGTACGAAAATTTGCATGATGTAATTATTAAGTATTCGAAAGTTTCTGTTAATGACTGGTACGAAAAATTGCTTGATTTGGGGTTAAAGAGTTTTTTTTTTTCATAAATAAGGGCCAATTTTTTTTCTTCAGAAATATTTCTTTTTTTCTTAAATTGTAAGAAATCCCATTTTTCAAAAGTATCATTATGGAATCAGGAAATAAATTGAGAGAATCCTCTCGTAAGAAAATTGAGGAATTGCTAATCAAAGGAAATCATAAGCGCAGTGATAGAGGCCGAAGCAGAAGCAAAAGCAACAGCAGTAAAACCAACATCAACACCAACGAAACCATCAATGACGAAATTTATATTTCTCAGACTAAGAGATGGCTTCTTGCAAATTCAAAAATTGAAGGTATTCGCAAATATTTAAGAAATTAATAAAATTATCTTGTAATTAATTAATATTTATTGTAATTATGGTAGATTAATTAACAAAGATTGAAAATAAAATCGATACTTTAAGTACAGAAATACAAGAGTTTAAATCTGAGTTAAAAACTTTACTTTCTGATAAAATAAATTTGTCATCAAGCGTTAAAGAATCATTCATAGCGGTAAGAATATCTTTGAAATATTTAATTTTATTATTTATTTACATTCTAATTATTTTGAATTTCGACTAATTTTAGGATGTTGTGAAAAATGTTTCAAAATTATTAATAAAAGTATCGATTTACCCAACAAAAGATGAATGTTGTGGAGCGGTTGAAGGATATTTATCACTGAACCATGCGAGTTTTTTCTCTAATTTTACTGAAGACGATTGGATCTCATTTTACAACGAGAATATACATAAACAAGTAAGTCCTTATTCGATAGTAACAAAATGTTTAATAAAATAAAATAAAATATTAAGTATTAACTTTCTTCGTAGTTAACAAAACAAGTACGGTCCGTAAAAGGAACATTGTCCTCAAAATCAAGGGAGGCTATTTTTTCTATATTCGGATACCGTTTACCACCTATAAACACAAATGCCAGGCCGTCTGAAGTAGCAAAATGGAAGAGAAAACCCGAGGTTAAAAGTTGTTATGAAAGCCTGTTTACAAAGATGAATCCCAAGGACAAAAATTCTTCGATTGTTTTAGTGAGCATTATTGACAGAGTCCTCCAAAATGACCATTCTAATGCAGAAATTGCATATGTTCTTGCGATCTGCTCAACAATTTTGAACCCAAATCATGAAGAAATAATGTTGAAAAAGAATATCATGAAACAAAAAGTTAAAAAATTTTTAGTAAGTTTGTAATTTTGTAGTAGTATTTAATAAAATATCATTTCATGGCTAATCAATCATATTATTCTTAAAAGAAAAAAATCAATAATCAAACGGGCATAAATTATTCCGATTTTGAAGATAATAGCTATGAGGAAGAAGAAAGTGGAAATGAAACTGAAGATGATGAAGATGATGATGTGATGATGTATAATAAGGTGAATTTTATTATATGCATAAGATAATTATATCAGTCGATGTGCATGTCACAAAATTAGTGGGCAAATTTTTTATACTATGATATCATAATTTAAATTTCATACATAGCATGGTCTTTNGATTTTGAAGATAATAGCTATGAGGAAGAAGAAAGTGGAAATGAAACTGAAGATGATGAAGATGATGATGTGATGATGTATAATAAGGTGAATTTTATTATATGCATAAGATAATTATATCAGTCGATGTGCATGTCACAAAATTAGTGGGCAAATTTTTTATACTATGATATCATAATTTAAATTTCATACATAGCATGGTCTTTAGATATATAGTATATATGTAAAGTTCTAAACTAGCCAAAGTTTTCTTTTTTGATTAAAATTACAGATCTTTAAATAATAATTTTGGCCAAAATTTTCTTAACTCTGGTCGAATTTATAGTGCCAGCCTAAAATTTAAAAAATACGCAAACTTCATTTTATATTTATGTAAAATAAATCTTTTGTAATACAAAATCTGAGTACATTTACCGATAGATGAGATCAAAATCTATCATTTTCAAGTATTTTTAATTTTATACTTCTTGTCAAAGAAAAGAATCACAGGTACTCAAAACCACCTAATTTCTGTAATAAACTTTTACAATCTCAATATGAATAGCTTTTCAAAGTCTATAGACGATAATAATATTTTATTTGAGCAATTTTTAGGTGATAACAATTCAGAAGAAGAGCTAGAATATGATGAAACATTTTTAGAACAATTGATAAACCAAAATTCAATATTATTAGAAGCTGAATCAAACAAACAATCTAATATTTTTCACATCGAAAATTTTTTGCGGGCACATGAAACTGTTTGAAGTGAAGAAATAAATGAATATAATTCAAGTAGTGATGATGAAATTGACGATGATAATGAGCAAAGTTTAAAAAATGAATCTGAATCACTTGAAAATGAAATATACATTATGGACGAAATGTCAACTTCCCTTTCACCATGTGCTATTGTTGACATGATTGATGGAAAATTACAAACATGCGGTAATGATAGTAAAAGATGTATTTTTCAATTAATAGGAACTTGGCAAATAGATACAAGTGTTGCGACTAAATTTTTGGATGGGAAGGTTAATTTAGGAGTGTGTATGTCGCATTTTAATTATGATCAAAAAAATTATATAAGTCATGCTAAACAAATAAGAAAAATGGAAAAAAGTATAATACATCGAAGAAGGTGGTTTTTTTGTGAGAAAAATTTCTACTTTTTTAGTCGTGGAATGAATTGCCGCCAACATTCTTGGAACATCTTTAATAGAAATATACAAGTAGCTTGCAATGGACAATTCAGTTGTAATGCACTTGAAGTATGTCTGAATATATCAAATTTAGCTAATGAGGAATTTTCAGATTCCCGATACATATGTTGCAGCTGTTTTGAAATCAATGGTATATTCATCAAAAAAATGGATCAGGAAAACCCAAATTCAATTGTGAAAATGATAAATTGCATGATGAAGATTCTGATAAAATACTCATAGCATTAGCGAACTGGCTTCTTTTTGTTGTAAAAAATGAAAGTCAAGATAGAAAAGAAATTATTCTTACACATATGTTAAATCCTGCATTACACTTTCTTCAAAATATAACATTGTCAAAAAACACTAAAAAAAATATCGATATGGAATCTATTTGTAATTTTGAAGAAATTCGTAGGTCATCAATATCTTCCACCACCTCTACAATATCATCTATCAACACGGTATACACAGGATTAACAAGTTATATTCAATTACCTACTCTTTTCATGCTTCAAATTCTTTTAAAAATGAATAAAATTTCAAATACAATTTCTTCAGAATTGTTTATTTCAGATGAACAATGGCCCGATGTAGGAAATAAAGTCTAAATCTCGAAATAAACTATTAAAACAATTTGATGAACAGCAATTAATAAAAATAGTAACTTTTTTTGTTTCAGTATTAATTGGAATTGCGTTTCCATACTTGCAAGTTTGGTTTACTAAAGTACTTTCGAGTCTTAGTAGAAAACCAAAACTCAATCAACAATTCCAGCGTCTTCTTTCTACTTTGCAAATAAGTGGACATACAGACGGTCAAGAAAGAAAATTAGAAAAGGTTCGAATAGGACCCCGAAAAATACATATAAAAGTCAGAGATGATCGGCAAAATTTTGCCTTAAAATAAGCAAATGTTTTTACTAAGATCAATACGCAAAGTTGACTTCTGACTTTATAATTT